CACGCAGTCAGATATTTTACCGGACAGATCCGCCACTTTTGGCGCGCATAAACAATCATAAAGCCCTCGTGCTGCAGGAATGAGGAGGTCTGCTGAAGGCGCACAGCTGACGTGCAGTGAGAGGTTTGCGTCTTTAATAAACTACGGCAGTTTGCGATCACTGAACAGTAAGAATGATTAATAAATCCATATGAAACAGCGCCTTAAAAGTCACGTCTTGCTTTCAGTTTCGGGCTTTGGCGCGTTTTGCACTGAGCGTGTCTCTCTCTCTCTCTCTCTCTCTCTCTCTCTCTCTCTCTTTCTCACTCACTCACTCACTCACTCACTCACTCACTCACTCACGCGGGCATGCACTGTGGTCTCATGAGGAAACGCTGCTTTTTTATATAGTGTTTTTCTTGCTCCCGAATACAAATAATTTTTCAAGTATTTGTTCGAATCAAGTATTCGTAAAAACACGCTATTCGTGCCTTTCCGAATACCGTATTCGGGTTCGGCTCCACCCTTAATATATATATATATATATATATATATAAAATATAATTATATTATATTGTGTTATATTATTATATTATATTATATTATATTATATTATATTATATTATATTATATTATATTATATTATATTATATTATATTATATTATTTTATATTTGGCGGCACAATCGCTCAGTGATTTACACTGTTGCGTCACAGCAACACTGGTTCGAGTTCCGGCTTGGCCAGTTAGCATTTCTGTGGAGTTTTCATGTTCTCCCCGTGTTCACGTGGGTTTCCTTCCTTCAAAAGTTTAAAGACATGCACTATTGGTGAATTGGGTAAGCTAAATTGGCCGTAGTGAATAAGAGTTTTGGGTTTTTCCCAGTTATGGGTTGCAAGGGCATCCGCTGCGTAAAACATATGCTGGATAGGTCTGCGGTTTATTCTGCTGTGGTGACCCATTTAAGTCGCTTAAGCAGACTGAACCGCCAACTATTACAGCATATGTTTTACGCAGTGGATGCCGTTCCAGCTGCTACCCAGTACTGGGAAACACCCATAAACTCTCACATACACACACACTTATACACTACGGCCAATTTAGTTCATCCAATTTACTTAAACTACATGTCTTTAGACTGTGGAAACCCACGCAAACATGGGGAGAACATGGTAACTTCACACAGAAATGCCAACTGGCCAAGCAGGGACTCGAACCAGGCAGTGACCTTCTGGCTACATTCTTGCTTCTTGCTTCTTGCTAAGAGGCAACAGTGCTTACCACTGAGCCACCATGCCACCTAATGCAATATAATATAATATAATATAATATAATATAATATAATATAATATAATATAATATAATATAATATAATATAATATAATATAGAACTTTACCTTTTATACACCTTTTATCGCACTTTGATGTATCTACAGTATCTATCTAATGACACATCAAAATGAAATACTTCAGTTTCAAATTCACTTCCTATAATTTATTGTGTTTTTAGCAACTATGATTCACTCTGACAACTCTATGTAACTTAACTGGTGTGCTGCCAAATAACTGTATTTGTAAAACCTGGCAGTCCGGATGTGTTAAACTTGACTCTTGTTGGCAACAATTCTGACAGTCTTTGTTAGCACAACTATTCATAATTTTCTTCTACAAACCAATGCTATCTCTATAATGAATGCATGTAAATGATTCACCAGCTAAATGTCTGTTATGTGCTTCTCTACAAGGCGTACAATAAGTTACGGGTATTTGAAAAGCGCTAAAGAATCTTGTGTCCTTTACAAATAAATCTTTTGTTGGCTTTTAAATTGTCTTTTTTAGAACATTTGTTACAAACACCATGACATTATTGACGATTTTTCTTGCTGCTGACATTACTTTTAAAAAACCTTAAGCAGAGATCACCTAAAAGCCATCACTATCATTTATTGCACATGCTAAATTCCTATGTGGCTTATTCTGACATGAACATTCAACCCAAAATCCTTCAACAAAAGCCAGAGTCTCATGCTGGGACAGAGTTAAGTAACATGCCAATTTTTACATTGAAATCAAGAACCTTTCCTAAAAAGCCCATTTCATGTTCGTGCTACGCTCTTTGGTAACATACGGATGAATGAAATCTGCATTCACAAGCTGTGAACCTTTCTGACCATGTGGTTCACACATCTCATGCCATTTTTCATTTGACATGCGCCTCAGCAGGAAATTGTCATCATATCGGGAAACGGCACAGTAGTCAAGCCTAATGGTGAAATCACACAAGCGCATACACACCGGAGAGTGGGAAAAGGAGAGAAAAATGCTAGAGAGCTTGATTAACTGCCAGAAGATGTTGGTTTCTATTAGATTTGCCATAGTGGTTGTGGTAGTCAAGTAGTTTATTGCAATATCTCGGCTGGACAATAAGATTGGGTTGCTGGTAAAAGAGTTTCGGGACAGTTAAGAGAAGTCCTCTTCATTTTGTTAGGATAGTTTTTAACTTTCTAAGGTTGTAATCATTTGTTTAATGTGCTTGAAGGTACAGTAACAATCCAGATGGCAATTTAGAATTACTGGAATTATTTAGTTCACATAAATCCAGTTAAGATGATAAACAATTCATCAATGCTCGGCTGGTGCCAGACTTATTTACATTTTAAAAGTATTTGCGTCAGTGTGTGTGATATTGCAATAAAATGGGACAAGTAAAATCTACTGGCTTTGCCCTCTATATGTACATGAAAAATTGATTTCTTGGTGGCTTTGATCTCTCATGAGTAAGACAGTAAACATCACAGCAAATGTCCAGCAGTGCAAAAACAGCATGAGCCTAAACTAAGACAGAATTATAATACATACACAACAGACGATGAACAATAAATGTGTCAAACTCAAACAAATAAATGTTATATGGAATCTTCCAATGGAATCATTAAAATCATTGATGGAATATTTCCATTACCCCTAAAGTTTTTGGGTGAAAAACTGCTTTTTGGAACAGCAAAATCCAAATCTTTTAAAGACTGATTATTAAACGGCTCTTTTTAGGGACCAAAACCAGTTTTTCTAGCATCACTGCAAGTAACTATTTTTGCAATCTTTATTTTAAAGGTGTAAGAAGTCTATTTAATTACAACTATAAATAGGCTCTATGCACAGCTAGAGTTTTAAAGGCAATAATAAACTTCCGGCAAAAGCTTAATGTGACAATTTTCAATTTCATAAGGTTGTTTTACAGCATTGATGTTGTAATGTAATTACAATACATTCATTTAAATAGACTTAAGCATTCATTTAGTTGTTCAAGCATAAAACGAGATGAAAGATCGTTTTAACCAGTAGCGCCGTCAGTAGCAACAAGCTAGCGCAGAAATGCCAGTGAAATTACTAACGTAAAATATTTTAAAGACATGGCGGGGGGAAATAGAATTTAATGCAGTGCTTTTTGTCCGATCTAAGACCCACTTTATATCGTATATCTAACAGGCAGTGAAGATCGCTGTTTTTTTAAGACATCAGATCCTAAACGTGACAATTTAGTAATGGAAAGATCGTTTACCCGAAGCCCTTAGGCTGCCTGGCTGAAAATTAAAAGTCTGTGTGCATATAGGCCATTAGTGTCATTTTCGAGACGCTATTGAATTGATTGAGCATATACACTTTAAAACTACAAACATGCAAAGTTCACGTGTGTAGGGAAAAACAAGCAATGAAAAAAAAACGCTATTAGCAACGCAACTGAGCATGTGAACTTCAGTAAAGAAACTACTTTACACTCTATCTGATGGTGTGCAGCTGTAGGTAAAGTCAAAAGTTCTAATTTAGATCTAAAAAAAAAAAAAAAAGAGAAACTACAGTAGTCAACATTTAAATTGGATCATCACCTTTCAAAGTTGTCTTAAAACTATTGATCAACATCCATTCCTGTCATAGGACAAATTTGAAATACATATTTAATTTGCTTCGAATGTTCACTACTGTATATATAAAGTGGGAACAATTTGTAAAGTAATCCTTAAACATGATTTTTTAACTTACACAAAAGTGTTCAATCACTCAATTAAATCAATCAATAATCAATCAAATAATACAAGATAATACAAATGAAACATGATCATCCATACACCGAGAATTGGACAGAAAATTCCGCTTCCTAAAAAAATATCCAGAAATCTATTTTAAAAGCTTCACTTTGTTTCCCAACTGTTCACAGGCTAAGGGTAACACTGTGTTCTCGCTTTAGTTGTCAGCTATGCTACACTGCTTGAGCAAACCGTCACAAGCAAGCCGAATGTGACACGCTGTTCTCTGTCTCACTGTCTGCATCTCTTTCGCTCTCACTCTCTGTCCGGTCATCCGAAGAGGAGACAAACCTCTCACTTTTTTCTCGTCCAGCACTCACACCCACATATACACACACACAAAAAACACATTCTACAGTGCAACACACTGCATGTCACAATAAACTCAAAAAAGCAAACATTTATGCAAGAGGAATCTCACTTAAAATTGTGAGTTATACAGTATTTACAATTATTTAGGGCTGTGTGAAAAAGCTTTCCTAAAACAATAAAAGATGCAAAACATACTTCATAAAATGTACAAAAAAGTATTCAAAGTAAACGACACCACTTCACAGACTGTCATTCTGAATTAAAAAGATTAAAGAAATATGGATGACACTAATGTAAGGTACAATGCTCTGCTTTCTCATACTAATGCGAAAACCTGAGGTACACAGTGCCCCGTTACTAGAATAAATGAAGAGCGAGGTGTACTTTTGAATAACGCATACGAGATGCATTAAGCGCCCCTTAAAATGCGATTGCCGGAGGATATTTGTTTCATCAAAATGAAACCAATCGTGCAGCATGAATCTAAACGACTCGCTGCCAAGCGCAGAGTTTTATCATAGGTTAAAGAGCAAGCCGTTGATGGCAAACCTTAAAACATAAGAGTTTATATGGTGTAAGTATGTAGGCGTGAGTGTGGAAGTCAAAGTAAGAGACTCGTGTACTCACAGTTTGAGCTGTCAGGTCACTCAGGTCTGATGCTGTATCACAGGCTCATCTTTTCACTGTTTATCCCTCCACAGGACAGAGCGAAAGAGAGAGAGAGAGAGAGAGAGCGAGAGATTGAGGGGGGGGGTGTATTTCCTATTCTTCAGCTCTGTTCACACAAGTATAACTGAAAAGAGAGGGAGGGAAAAAGAAGAGAGAGAGAGAGAGAGAGAGAGAGAGAGAGACAAAGTAGGCTGGTTTTCTTTGCGATCTGCTTGGCGGTCCTGCTACAAAGCGAGCGTCAGATTCAGTAGTGTTGCTTCTTTGGCGTGCCGCGCGTGTCTTCACACACAGCCGAGAGCCCGGTGCGGTCAACCACACGCGTCTGTGCTGTGTATGTGTGTTTACGTTCACACAAGCGGGATGGATGTGTGTAAGTGGTGGGTGTATGTGTGTGTGTGTATTGGGGAGGGTGCTTGGGCTTTCACTCACTGGCTGCGCCTTACACTGTAAGAACACATCAGAGATGGAAGAGAGAGAGAGAGAGAGGAAGAGAGAGAGAGATGAGGGTGGGAGGGACGGACAGCGAGGAAGGAGGAGGAGGAGAGACAGAACGCGGAGGTGGAGAGGATGCACTGACAGTTTCATGCGAGCCCTTCTCGGAAGGCTCCGACCGCTAACGTAGGCTGACAGGTACTGAACGATAGAGACGAGAGGCAGCTACAGCCTTCTATTCTCTTCCGCCATCGCTCCTTCAACCTCTAATCCAGACTACATTTACACCACTTCTCCAATCCAAAGCGTAGAAGACATGATATCAATATCCAGAAATGTTCCATTAATTCGGGTTATTGATTACCATTTAAATTAATGATCAATTAAACAATTAACCTTGCTAAAGCAAGAGAGGTCTACTTCTGTGGCACTGGTTTGACAGGATGTGTAGCTGACATTCAAAATGCAAGCTGTCTAACCCAATTAAAAATATTTTTTATATAAATAATTGACTTGCAGGATAGTAAAAATAATACTATGATAAAACAATTTAAAGATTAAATATAAATTTCATCTCAGATGCACAATCGGTCCATGCCTGTGTTCATGTAACCAAATTGTTGTTGTTTTTTTGTGCTTATGTTACTTTACCAAATATGTAAAGGATGTTGTGCATATTAAAGATAATCTGGAACATGTAATGAGACCAATGTGTCCAACAAAGCATTTTAACCCAGCTGAAAACGCCAACGCTCTTCCTAAGTGCTAGCAAGCGCTTCTGTGGTCTAGTTTTTTTTTTTTTTTTTTTTTGAGATGCTTTGGTTTCTATGACAGAATATCTCGAGTACTATTAACTGATTTCAAAGATAATATCTCTCCATCTGAAAGTGTTGGCATAATTTAGAATGACGTAAAATGATCCTCTATTTTTCCCTCATTGTGCTTGATGTAGTGACACTTTGCCACTGGGTATTTGTCCTGACCCCCTCTACTGTGATTGGACAGTAGGTCTAAAAATGAAGTTGATGAGCGTTGTGTTTGGAGAAAAAAGATGACTTAGCAATGTGATAAAAGCTTCCAACCTTTAGCAATTTAGCTTTAGTTATTATCTCCTTTTTATCACACCTCAGATTATCAGATAACAATGCAATATTTATGTTGCATTTACATGATCTAAATGTACCAATCAAGTTCAAATCCCAGCACTCACTTTAAAATTCAAACACCTTAAAATGTGCACATTAATGTCCAGGGTGTGAACTACGGTGGAGCTCGGCTCCCCTAAATAAGACATGGGCTCCACCTGAAAACATGATTTGTGAAAATATTGACAATGTGTTAACTTGACGTGCGGTTTCAGTATTGTGTAATGTGATCATAGAGTATTAAGCGTAAAAGTGCAAAAAAATCTCCATTAATGCATGATGGTGATTTACACCTCACTTAAAAATAAGATAACTACATACTATTCTTGTCATTAGACGGCGCTGATGAGCAAAGTCCAGTCATGTAAAGACTGACAGCCAGATGCTTTCATCTGGACGTTGAAACACTGTTTATTTTCTAAAACAAATGATGTGACGCAGTGTTTCGCAGAATTTGTTTCATAAAGTAGGCAATACAATGTTCGTTTTTTTAAACACCATGACATTGCTGTAAACATGTTGGACAATTAAGCTGAAAGCAGGGTAAACTTGACAAAACGGAACCCATTTCAATGGTGTTTCTTTCATTTTCCAATTTGCTATTATATTTTACCGGAGTGATCAGTGAGATCCTATGACATTTTAGGCCATTGTAAAATAAAATAAAAAAGCATGTGCTGTCCTTAATGCCATTATCTCGAGCTTATAGAGTGAATAGAAAAATGACATGCCGAGGTTTTTTATTTTGCTGTTGAGTAAAACATATTAGTGTTTGTTAATTTTATATAAATGAATGTACTCCTCTCAAAAAAGTACAGCAGGTAAAATTAAACAACGGTATTCTGTTGTTGAGGCTGCAGTTGTTTGTGCATGTAAAAATAAACCCCTCAAAAGATAATTTCAAGGGTCAAAGAAAGTTATAAAAGGCAAAACAAGCACTTTTTAGCGAGAAAGTAAACCGAAACTATCGTGGTGTTTTGTTCATTTACCCCACTTTTTAAAAGTCACAGTTAAATATATTTTATATTTTCACAGTTACATTTAAATATCTGTTTTATATTCAAATACTTTTTGTTTATACATTGCCATTTAAGCATAGGGATCCTGCATATGTTATAGCCTATATGTGGCAAGGGACTCGAGATCAAAGCGGAAAAAGTGGGATCCCCAAAGGGCACAGTATAGTTTGAACACTGATGACATAAGTGATTGTTGATGGACAGTAATGAGGTGTATTAATATAAACTTAACTGACCATTAATAAATCATCAATTCATCACTTGCATCCCTAAACAACATTTAAAAATCATATACTCATCTGTCTTGTGATGCAATAAAAGCATGCACACTTGATCACCATATGCATGTTAGTGGGAAGTGGTCCTGAAATTCAATATAAAAAGCCAAATATGGTCTATAAAGCGGTTTCAGAAAGGGAGACGGCTCTAACTGATGGTGTAAATTAAGGATATAAAGTGTGGAAACTCTATGGCAGCCCCGTGGGCCCCTGAGCGCTCAATGCTGTCAGGGTAGACTACACTCCACTGATTTCAATTAAAAGCTAAATTAGCCATTTGAACTCTGATCTTAGCACTGTGATGTAATTCATGCCTTGCTATCAGAGAATGCGTTCTCCCATCATTTACACCTAGTAGTATTTTACCTTACCATTAATGCTTTAGCGCAATAAGCATCAATAAAATCAATGCAACCATCAACTGTTGACATGGTAAGAAATGTTTGTTTGGTGATAATACAATGACCCGCAGAGTATGTGTTTCTCACAAATATACTTGAAGCACACACTATACTCTGTTCTACGCTATAATACACTGTACACTACATTACACTGAACAATAATATTTCAAACAGCAATATAATGACATAACATAGTGATAGATAAAGTACATCCAGGCGGTTGTAATCGCAGAATAAAGACAGACAAGGTCATTCCTACATCCCTATTCTTACCCCTACATATTATTCAGTCACAATACAGCTTCAAACTAGTGTTGGGCGATAAATTAATTTACAGTTCACCATATCATCCCCTTGTGAGATTGGCGATGCACGATAACATGAATAATATAATATAATATAATATAATATAATATAATATAATATAATATAATATAATATAATATAATATAATATAATATAATATAATATAATATAATATAATATAATATAGGCAGCACAGTGGCGCAGTGGGTAGCACAATCAGTTCGAGCCCTAGCTGGGTCAGTTGGCATTTCTTTTTGGAGTTTGCATGTTCTCCCCATGTTCCCGTGGGTTTCCTCTGAGTGGTCCGGTTTCCCCCACAAGTCCAAAAGAACATGCGGTACAGGTGAATTGGGTAAGCTAAACTGTCCATAGTGCATGTGTGTGAATAAGTGTATGTGGATGTTTCCCAGTCATGGGTGGCTGCTGGAAGGGCATCTGCTGTGTAAAACATATGCTGATAAATAATATAATATAATATAATATAATATAATATAATATAATATAATATAATATAATATAATATAATATAATATAATATAATATAATATAATATATAGAGAAAAAAATTAAACCTCAATGAGAGAACATTTCTTTTATTAGCAACATAGAAAAAAATCTTAATATTGTGAAATATTCAAAGCTGAATCTTATGCCAGTCTTTAATATCATATGATCCATTCTGATATTATTTGGAGCATTCTTGAAATGATTAAAGGTGCCATAAACTGCACTGGTTCAAGTCAAACTGTTCTCTGATATCTACATAGTAGGTATATGGCTTAGGTAAGTTCAAAAAAATTTCTCAGTTTTATATGCTAATTTGTTACTCCATTAAACATCCCTAGAATGAGAAGGTGCATAATTGACCATATTTGGGGATGTAGTGAATATTAAAGAGCTCCACTGGATGCTGGAGGATGATGTACGCTGGACATGGGCAGTATAATAATACTAAGTATATTGCTAGTTAAATCTTTAAAGCATCAGAAACAGTAACACATTTTGCTCATGAGATCTGTTGTGGATAAATGCTAAAATATAAATAAACTTGACAAAAGAGACTAATAGAGATGTATTGTGTTGTATTTTAAAGCTATAATGTCAAAGAAAGCACAGCCAAGAATATCAGCCTCTGCATGAACAGATGACAGTTGAGCTGAGTGATTTGAATCAGCAGTCGCATGTGTTTGTTGAAACATGCACCGAATTTCAGAATAAACATGATAAATTAACAAAAGATACAATTTAACATACCTTATGCCTATTTGGAGTGGAACTGAGCATAATCTGTAAATCTTGCATTTTGCATCCTAACTAATAAGTTTGAATATGTTTGGTGCTCAGTAATGCAAAAGTAAACAATCTGGGTCTCCCACTTTCAAAATAAAAGTCCCACATATGCAAGTTTGCATATGGAAAATGGTCATTGCTGTCTCACTAGGAAACATTGGGGCTTGCTTTCCAAACACAGCCTGAGGCGTGTATATTAATATGTGCCTGTGTGATCTGATGACGTGGATGCTCGTCAAGTCTGGATAATGTCCTAAACTACATAAATGCTGAGGTGTGCCCCTTAAGTCATGCAAGAGTCTGTTTTCAGTTTTGATTGGCCTTTTGTCCACCAGGGTTTTACACTCGTGGACTTTACATGATAATGAGGAAACAATCATGTCTGAGGCTCACAGTATGGCCATTTCCATTCACTAATCTCTTATTTTTCGACTATGCCTACCAGACTTTCTTTATAGTGCACCTTTAATCTTGAATACATTCATGCTGTTTAGCATTTTCGTGAAAACTGCTACAATTATTGATT